GAGGTGTGGAATGGAGTGTAGTCCAATCAGCTTCCATATGTAAATGACCTTGGAACGCTGGCCAGGACTGCACAAAGCAGCCAATGAACCCAGCCAGTGTCTTCCGAGTGGCAGTTTTTTCGGCCTAACACTAAAGGGGCCAATTTTAGAATTCTGGCACCCAAAACTCTTTTATAATAAGGGAGAGATTAGAAAGGAGATTTTACAAATGTATCTGGATTCCTGCCCCCACCCCCCCAAAGTATTCTAACTTTATATGGGGTGGTAGGAAAAATGCATTATTTCCCCCCCAAATTTGATTATTTCTATTGGAAGGGTGTGTTTTTTTTTAGACTTCCAGGTTTAGCTTGGTATTGACAGTCCTTTTTTGCAGTTTAGTGAGTCATTACTGCCTGGGTTTATCTCTAAGATTTGGTGGGAGAGGCAAAATGACTTCATTACTGGATATGATTAAATAAGATAATATATTAAGATATTGTTAGATGTTTTAATGAGAGGCACCCACTGCTCTCAGTTCTTTCAGATCAGATCTTGACACAGTGGTTAATGGGAAAGCCATCCATTTAGGCAGATGGCAGAATGTGAAAAGAAATCCTCATCATCAGTTAATAAGGGTAGGCTAAAATGTTCCTTAAATGAGTAATAGACCAGGCACGAATCTAATATAAGACATATCTACTTAAGTGTCACCTTGATCAGGAAGTCTCAGTACCAGGAAATATATGGTTGCATGATGAGCAGACATGACCAGCATTTTCTTGCAATGTAAAATTAAGGGCCCAACTGGATGCCATGTTTCCCTCAAGGTCTTCCCTAGGTCCACGCAGTCATGTGTATTGCAAGTTTTGTGCTGGGAACTTAATGCAAGGCATGTGTGGACTCCATGCGTATCAGGGCCTGAAATCCCAGGGGGCACCCCTGTTTCTTGTAATGGGGGCACCACATGCACTGATGGTGTATACCTAGATTGCCCTAAGTCAAGACAGGGAAATGGTAGAGGGGACACACATAAGACTCACTGCCACAGGAAGTGGTGGCGGCTACAAGCATGGACGGCTTCAAAAGGGAATTAGCTATGGAGCAGAGGTCCATCAGTGGCTATTAGCCACACGCAGGGCTACTTTTGGGCAGGAACACACAGGAACGGAGTTCCGGCTGGCTTCAGAGTTGGCCACGCCCACTACAGCCCAAACCTCTGTGTGCGTGGCTACAGAGGGAAGGCCTGGTGAGCACCCCCCGCTCCAAGGTGGACTCCAAGGTGGACTCCAAGGTGGGCGGGCCAGGGAGGGCTCCAAGGGCCGGCTTGCCCGGGCTCCCCACAGCCGTGGGGCACCGGGGCAAGCCAAGGGAAGGCATGGGGTGTGGCGTAATATGCTAATGAACTGCACTGTCAGGGGTGTGGCCTAATACGCTAATATGTTTCTGCTGGTGGGTGCGGCATATTATGCTAATGAGTTCCTGCTGGGCTTTTTCTACAAAAAAAGCCCTGGCCACACGGTATAGATAGGGGCTCTGGGGCAAGTGATGCTCTGTCTTCTTGGTGCTTGGGGGGGGGGTCAACAGTGGGAGGGCTTCTAATGTCCTGGCCTCCCACTGGTGGACCTCCTGATAGCACCTGGTATTTCTGGCCACTGTGTGACACAGAGTGTTGGACTGGATGGGCCTTTGGCCTGATCCAACATTGGCGTCTCTTATGTTCTTATGTACTCCTTTCCTTCTGTGCTGTGGTCCCAATCCAAACTGGGCCAGTGTATGCCTGGGACAAAATGCCTAGGATGGAATGCAAAATGAACATTTGATTATGAGGACCTGGGGAAATGTAATGCGTAATTAGGCCGCAAGACAACCACTTTAAAGCTGTTTGACGGTATCCAGCTCTCTCTTGCTCAAGTAAAGAATATTCATGGCTCTGATACAGATGTGGATTCAACATGCCTTTGAAGTACATTACAGGAGCAACATGATCCGTAGATTTTCCAGTAATTTTTGAGGGATTATACCAACAAAGGCTGTTTCCATGTGGGAAACATTTGCAGTGGCAACACGGGATTCATACAGCAGGTTTCTCCACACTTTTTTTGCTTTAGCCCTCCATGGGCCCCATTTTCCCCCTTTCACTGAAGGGCTTTTTAAAAATAATAATCAGGATTTGCAATAACAAAATATTGTGATGATTTACTAGTTCCTACGTTCTGTTTGAACAAAAAGTAAGTCTCCATCCCTTTCCCATACAAATTTATATGGGGAAGTTTGCAGCCTCTACCTTTTCCCCCTTATAACTCTGCATTGAAACAGGCTGAGTCAAATAAAATGGTGCTGATGTGGGTGGGATCTGCAAAAATGTACATCTTCCCATTCACATCATGTCCAAAGGGACTTTGACTGATCCTTCTGAAAGACAGGTTTGGGAAAGATAGCAGCAAAGCAGGAAAAAGCCAGAAGCAGGATGAATAGATCATGAAGTTGCATGAATGTTTCCAAAACCTGCACTGTGGTAAGGAAGTCAAGGTGAACCCAAACCCCTGGGAGGGTGCACCCTAGCATAGAAGCAAATATCCTATTTTACCAGAAGTCCAATTGCTGAGACTGTTGGTGGGGAAGAAGCAGCTAAGCCCTCCTCCATCATACCTTAGTCCACATACAGCCAAAAACCCACTTCCCAGGTGGCACTTTGTATTGTATTTCCAAATGCTGTGACATGATCTGGGAGCCAAATTATGGTTGAAAAGCCAGATAAAATATAATCAAAATTACCATTTTATGTTTTACATAAAGCTCTTTCAGATTTAATAAAAAAAATCTAAACAAATATGAGCTTTTAACAAATGTTATATAGGTTTTGTGATTATATGCAGACATACTAATGTTGCACCTGTTGGCATTATGCTTTTTTGTAGGCAGATCTGCTGGCATAAATTTTGCAATCAGAACATAAGGCTAAATTAGTTTCCATGGGTTTTATGCATACATTTACAGTAAACAGTACTGCATCCAAACTATCTCCAGTCATTGGCTTATGAATTATGTTCTAAAGTTTTCTTTGGATGCTACAGTTATCCTGTTGGATATAAAATGGATACCAGATATATCATAATTTAAGAACACAGGTGAATCTGTTCTTCACGCAGCTTTGTAGGTATTCAGCTTCAAAATTCCCACAGTTCTATTGTGTTGTTCAAATGCATCAAAATAATATTTCTTTTTAAATTTTATTTAAATTTTTCAACTTTATAATGAAATAGTTATTCAACTTGATACAAATTCGAAACACAGTTACAATAATTATTTTGCTATTTGTGAAAAATACCTTCAATTATACATAAACTAAAAAGAAGCAAGTTAAATAAATCAACAATGCTTACGAGCAATACAAAGGAGTGAAACAGTATCTGGCCTACTGTAAATACATTCTGCTTTACACCCAATCCTGAAAAGTCAGATGGTCAGTTAAAAGACTCATTTGTACCCCAACCCAATATATCTTGGTTAGAGAGAAATAAATTAATCTGGTTTGAAAATCTTAAAAGCTTCTTGTTTAGATTTCACGCAGGATTTGGCAAATGATGTTAGTTTCCGGTGAGCTTCAGACAGGCCTTCACCTGTAAGAGCGCAGCAGGGTTGTACGTACCAGTTCCGGTCATGACAGTGTTTCTTCATGTTAAATTTCTTGGTGATTTCCTCAGCATCCAAAGCTCCAGGGAGATCCTGTTTGTTTGCCAGGACAATCACAGGCACATTCTTCACCCTTTCATTCCTCAAGATTAGCTCCAGCTCTCTCTTCGACTCATCCAAGCGTTGCCTGTCGGTGCTGTCCACAACATAGACCAGGCAGTCTGCGTTTTCCAAGTAGTTGCCCCAGACGGTCCTCATTTTGTGCTGTCCTCCGACATCCCAAACTGTTAAGGAAACACTTCCTCCTGTTTCAATCATCTCCACGTTGAAACCAACCGTTGGCATCGTTAGGAAGACGTCGTTGAACTTCATCTTGTACAAAAGCGTTGATTTCCCTGCTGAATCGAGACCGAGCATTAGGATCTGGGCTTGCTTGGCTTTGGAATGTTTAGAGCTGGCGAGCCCCATCCCGACCACACCATTTAGTAGTCAGATTACAGTTTTCTTGATCTTTCAGATGAAAAATGGCAAGTAAAGGAGAAAGAAATGGAAGATCAGGCTTTGTGCGATGCAACAGGAATAACAGCATGTATATGTTTGTTCTGTGACCTTATCAGGGTGGCAGTATGCAAACAGAGAGTTATTAAAATATAACCTTCGCTGCCTACCTGCAGGGTGGAGCTGACTTGAATAATGTTCGGTCACAGCAGCCAAAGGTTGCTTTATTATGTTGATCAATGCCAAAGCTGAGCATACTCTTGTATTCTCAAAGCTCCTTGTCTTTCTTAATTTATGAGATGTACGTGGGTGTGTTTTTGCAGTGCAAGATGTTATAATGCCACCAACTGTGTGACATTCCTAGGGTTAGATTGTACTGCTCAAACGTTCCTAATAGTGATGTTGATATACATTCATATATTTATGTTGTTCTGGACATGCTTTCAACAGCCATGCCTATTAGCTGTGGGATAATGATATTCTGCAAGAAAACTGTGCGGTATTTGGATCGATAGCTAAGTTGCCATGGATCAAGTAGTTATCAGGAAAGAAGGTGTTGCAACTTGCAGCAACTATCCCCAGAATTTCACTCTGAGAAATTAGATCTCTGACTTCTCTTAAGGAAAGCATATAGGCAGAGACTGCATACAGGGCACTGACCCACATGGGTGATATCCTACAACTCCCAGTTTCTAAACAATTAAGGACTAATGAAGCTGGTAACTTTGGCCTTCTGTTGCAAACTTATCATTATCTAAAATATAGCAAGTAGGATATCACCAGGAGCATGCAAAGTGGCAACCCTTAGGAGTTTCCTGGTTTCTGACAGCTCAAACTTGTTCTGTCCATAAAATACATATTGCTGGCTCAGGTAGCTTCAATTTTCCTTGGGGGCAGAGGTGCTTAACCCTTCAACATACACAGTTTTACTATTCACAACTGGGCTCTCAGTTTTATTACTACTATTTTAAAGGAGAAAAATATATACTTTTCCATTTAAAATGTTTATAACAAAGCAGGGAGCATGTTTGGTGTAGTGGTTAAGTGCACGGACTCTAATCTGGGAGAACCGGGTTTGTTTCCCCATTCCTCCACTTGCACCTGCTGATGTGACCTTGGGTCAGTCACAAGCTCTGGCACAGCTGTCCTTGAAAAAGAGCAGTTTGTGTCAGAGTTCTCTCAGCCCCACTCACCTCACAGGGTGTCTGTTGTGGGGAGGAGAAGGGAAAGGAGTTTGTAAGCCGCTCTGAGACTCCAAGTGAAGGGTGGGGTATAAATCCAATCTCTTCTTCTTCTTCTTCTTGAATTGTGAAACCAAGGGCATAAGAAAAAAGCAGCAGTCCTGGGTAAGACCAATGGTCCACCTAGTCCAGTATCCTGTTTCCAACAGTGGCTAATCAGATGCCATAGGGAAGCCCACAAACAGGGTCTACAGACAGGGTCAGACCTTACCTGAGTTGTCCTCAACATTTGACCATCAGAGGCAGCATTCTACCTGAGTATCCAGAGGGCCCATTCAGTTATCATGGCTAACAGCCGACGTAGATTTATCCCCCATAAATCTGTCCAACTCTCCTTTTAAATATCTCTAAGCCACTGACCATCACCACATCACATTCCAATGAGTTCCACAAGGCCATTAACTGTTGAGTGAAGTTTCATAGTGTGGTCTTGAGTTCTAGTATTATGGAAGACAGAGAAAACTTTATTCACTTCCTCTGTACCATGCATAATTCTGTCACATCACCTAAACTACAGTGCTCCAGATGCTTTAGTGCCTTATAGGGTAGGCACTCTAACCCTGGGATAATTTTGACTTTTCCCAACTATTGAATTCCTTTTGTGAGAGGCTCGACAAGAACTGGTTATAGAACCCAAATATGACCAAACCAGAAGAAGGAGGAGGAGGAGATTGGATTGGTACCCTGCCCTTCACTCAGAGTCTCAGAGCAGTTTACAAACTCCTTTCCCTTCCCCTCCCCACAACAGCCACCCTGTGAGGTAGGTGGGGCTGAGAGAGCTCTGAGAAAACTGCTCTTTCAAGGACAGCTCTTGTCAGAACTATGGCTTGCCCAAGGTCATCCAGCAGCTGCAAGTGGAGAAGTGGGGAATCAAACCTGGTTCTCCCAGATTAGAGATCGCACACTTAACCACTCCACCAAACTAGGGGCTTGTATCAGGGCATTACTATAATGGTAGTTTTTTTCCCTCAGCCCCTTTCCTTATAATCCCTAGCATGAAATCTTCTTCTATCTTAAATCACCTCAGCACGCAAAAGCAACATTTTAAATAAGATACCCATAATCTCCTTGTATGATTTCCAAATGGGACCCCATCAATGCATGTCAAATTAGGATTTTTTTTTGTCTCACTATGAATCAGTTTGTACTATATCAAATTTTGTCTAACAGTCTGTTGCCCATTCACCCAGTTTATAAAGAACCTTTTGGAGCTCTGCACAGTTCCTATATGTTTTCAACATCTTCTCCTTTCATTATCCCAAGACAAACTGAGGCTTGACAAGACTGCACTTCGCATTTTATGAGATTTGTGATCTTTATCTCATCTATCTGAGCCCTTAGAAAGTTTGTGCAGCACAAATGTACACAATTAAGCACTGAGCCTGCTATGGAACTGCATGCATTGCATTTTCTTCAAAAGTGTTATCCTCTCTCCTGGACTGAGTTCTGGGAAATTGATTCTGCAAGAGTACCATAGAATTTGGTCTCATTGCTAAAGGCTCGTTGGCTGGAGCCTTTTACATCACAAAACTGCCTCCCCCTTCCTGGAACAGTTTTGCAAGTATTTTTAGTTTATTATGTCCTTTATACATAAGCATATGGTGTCCATTTAAGAGATGTAAGTATAACACTTTAAAAATAAGAAGGCATACAGTTCACCTGAAGTATGGCGGGAAGTGTTATTAGTGTTTCCTTAAGGGATGAGTATATCTGTCACTTACATACTGACTGAGGGAGGATGCTGAACTCACCTTGCTGGGGGCAAATGCTCTAAGAGTTTGTTTATTTGTTTTTTTAAGGTATATCTGTATCCACACATAACAGGACAGATTGTTCTCAGTCTGCAGGTTCCCCAGTAAAAGGCCAGATCATTTCCTAGGTAAAACAGCTGTAAAAGGGAATTAAACAAATTACTGAGGGTAGTTGTATCATGGTTATTTGCTATCGGGGCAAATTGGCCATGAAGCCACCAGGAAAAAGTCCCAGTAGACTGATGGCCTGGAAGCCACTCCCCCTCTAGTCCCCCAGTAGACTGATGGCCACCAAAGCCCCAAGCAAGGGGTGGTCAACATGCCAGGCAGGAAGCACCACTGCAAGCCAGTGGCCCTTGCCATGTTCCAGTTGGGGAAGGAGCCATGTGGCCCCACCAAACCCTACCCCAAGTGAGGGAGAAGTTTGTATACTCCCTCTTTCCTCTACCTTAAGGAGTTGCAAAGTGGCTTACAATCACATTCTCTTCCTCTCCTCACAACAAGTGCCCTGTGAGGTAGATGGGGCTGAGACGGTTCTGAGGGAACTGTGACCGGCCCAAGATGGAGGACTGGGGAGGACTGCAGAATCAAATTCAGTTCTCCAGGTTAGAGTCCACTGCTCTTAACCACTACAACACACTGGCTTTCCACACAGGGATGGAGGCACTCTACTCCACTGAGCTGTGCACAAACGTCTCTTCCTTCGTCCCTCCTTCCTTTGGGGGGCAGCAATGAGACCCTGTTTCTGGGCTGCCTTTTCCTCCCAGTCCATCCCATTAGCTATGATGGTTAAATAGAACCTTTAGAGTAGGTTGTTGGGGGTCAGCAGTTGAGGAGGGTTATTTATTAGTTGTATTTATAGTCCGTCTTTCTTTAAAAGAACGGTTCATAAAATATTGAATACTCCCAAATACTAATAAAATACATATAAAATAAAAAATTATGAACAACAAGCTATTTTACCAGTTTGATGTAGTGGTTAAGAGTGAGGACTCTAATCTGGGAGAACCGGGTTTGATTCCACACTCCTCCACTTGCAGCTGCCATGGTTCTGACAAAAGCTATCCTTGAAAGGGCAGTTCTTGAAAGAGCTCTCTCAGCCCCACCTACCTCACAGGGTGTCTGTTGTGGGGAGGGGAAGGGAAAGGAGTTTGTAAGCCGCTCTGGGACTCTGAGTGAAGGAAGTAAATCCAATCTCCTCCTCCTCCTTTACAAAAAGGCCTACTGAAAAAGTTATGTCTTATATAGTTTAAGGAATGACAGAAGCTTGGGGGCATTCCTAACTTGCTATGGAAAGCTATTCCACCAGAAGGGGAACTACAACCAACAAGACCCACTCACAAACTGTGAAATGTTATACTTGTCAGACTGTCAGTACTGCTGCTGCAGAATGTAACAGGAGAGAAGCAGTCCTGTAGCAGTCCAAGGCCATGAAGGGATTTATAGATAACAACCAGAACCTTGAACTGAACTCAGAAACTGATTGGCAACCAAAGAACTGATGGCAAAATCAGTGTAATATGATTCTGCCTTCCTGTTCATAATAATCAAGCTGTGGAATTTTGTACACACTGAAGTTTCTAATTGTATTAAAGGGCAGTCCTATTTAAAGTGCACAATAGTCCAATCTTAAGGCTACTATAGCAAGGCGCCACAAGGCCAGATCAGCTTGGTCAAGGTAGGGAATCAACCTCCATGCTAAATGAAACTGGAGGAACGCGTCTTTCATAGCTGAAGTGGTGGTTATACCAGGGTGGTAGCCTTGGACTTGTAGGGGCAAATTCCACCTCTCGCGTGTGATGTCATTCTGGCTCCCCCAGCTCTCCTTCTGGGCTCCTTAAAAAGTTATGGCCGCTGCCGTTGTTCTCGGCAGCAGCTGCGACGCCCATGCGGGGTGGGTGGGGCGAAACGTTCTCCCGCCTCCCTGAGCCCCAGGGTGGTGGCCTTGGACTCATAGGGGCAAATTCCACCTCTCGTGAGAGGTCATTCTGGCTCCCCCAGCTCTCCTTTGGGGCTCCTTAAAAAGTTATGGCCGCCCCCGCTGTTCTCGGCGGCAGCTGCGATGCCCGTGGGGGGGCAGGGCGAAATGTTCTCCCACCTCCCTGAGCCCCGGGGTGGTGGCCTTGGACTCGTAGGAGCAAATTCTACCTCTTGTGTGTGATGTCACACGCGAGAGGTCATTCTGGCTCCCCCAGCTCTCCTTAGGGGCTCTTTAAAAGGTTATGGCCGCCGCCGCTGTTCTCGGCGGCAGCTGTGATGCCCGTGGGGGCGAAACATTCTCATGCCTCCCTGAGCCCCGGGGTGGTGGGCTTGGACTCGTAGGAGCAAATTCCACCTCTTGCATGAGAGGTCATTCTGGCTCCCCCAGCTGTCCTTATGGGCTCTTTAAAAAGTTATGGCCGCCGCCACCGCTTTAGTTGTAGGGGCTTTATTGCAATGTGGTATGGCCTGATATTATGTTCTTATTCCAGTGTGGGGTGTGTGTAGGGCAATGGAAGCTGAGTGATAGGGTCTCTCCAAATGATTGCCAGAAGTGAGATGCTTCCTGGTCTTGTGTCTTACAGATAATCTTACAAATAGTCCTTTGCATTTATATGCTTTCAACTTTAAAAGGATCATAATGCTGATTGTGTGAACTTAGGCAAATCACGAGAGGTAGAGCAGGAAGGGTTGCGTCAGTGCTTAGTTCTTGGGCCCTTTCTTACATGCCCAGGGAAATGCTGATCGCCACTTTGGGGCCAGGAAGCAATTTTTCTCCAGGCCAGTTTGGCCCCCAGTGATCCTGGAGGTTTTTTTTTATCATATTCTGTGCGTGGAACAGGGGTCACTGGGGTGTGTGGGGGGTATTGGTGAATTTCCTGCATTGTGCAGGGGGTTGGACTAGATGACCCTGGAGGTCCCTTCCCACTCTATGAGTCTATGATTCTATAATTCACCTAGGCTGGCTGTGGGCACGCCAGCACCTCTGTCAAGCAGAAGCGCCCGATATACTTCCCCTCCCCTTTTTCTTCGCCCGACTTGGAGGCGAAGGGAAGGGAGAGGGGGGAAAGAATGGATCCCAGGTGCTTCTGCCTGTCAGAGGGGCTGGTGCACACTTCCGGTGATGTCAGTGTGGGTGGCATATGCTAATAAGTTATGCTAATGAGCTCCTGCAGCTCTTTTTCTACGAAATGACCCCTGTTCATGCCCATCCGTAATTAAAACGTTACCATAGCTTTTTCACAGGCAGTGTCTTCCATAGGAACTGGTAAAACAGGCTGACTTGGAATATCAAAGATGTTGAGTTGAACACAATATTTACAATAGTTAATGTTAATGCTACATGCATTAGCCTAAAAGAGAATTACTATAAAACTTTATGGTATCCAAGTGCGTAGTGTGCCATCTCATTTTGGTGGCTGGAGTGCCTGTATCAAGCATTTTTAAAAGGGTTACGTTTGGGAATAAAAGTGCTGTTTTAGTATATGCCTAGGGGCAGAATTCCTTAAAGCCCTGCCACTGTTAATACTCAATACATGTTAAATAGTAATGTAAATGGAGGGAGACACAGCGTCAAGTAAGCATACATTAAAACACAATCTGTTATACCAAAGTGCAGAGTGTACCAACAAAATTGAACAAGTGGGAAATCTAATGAAGATGGATGTCCTCCAATGATGGCATGATTTATTACTTCTGAGGTTCAGGGTGGGTAGTAATCTTTCTTAGTCTCCGCAGGCTGTGATGTGTGCCTCCATTAAGGAACTTCAGACTGAAATTGTGGGTTGTCTTCAGGCCGCTAGCAAATCAGCTGTAACCTGGAACCCTGTTTCCTGGGCCCATGCGCCACACTCTGGCCCTGGTCACACAGAAGGTTTTGGCCCGGGAGAGGGACGGATCAGGAGCGCAGCAAACGGGTGCGATCTCACCGCAACATCTGGGAAGCGGTGCGCACCCATCCCCAATCCGTCCCTAAAGCCGGAAAACCCGCTGCAAAAAAGAACCACCTACAGAGGAGGACGTACCTGGAACACCGCATCAAGCGCGGCCGTGGGATCGCCGGGGCACCCGTTGTCTGGAGCAATCCAGGCTCCCAGCCGAACTGCACATGTGCACACATGCGCAGTTTGGCTGCCACGCTCTTTCTTCAGTGGCTTCCCTCCCAGCATCTGATCATGCCGGGGAGGCACTGTGCGGCAGCTCAGGGGATCTATGTGATCCCGCCGCCATGTGTCTCTTTTGGTGCGGCTTTCAAAAGCTGCACTTTGCCCGTGCTCCCCCCCCCCGTGTGGCAGGGGCCTCTGTCCCACGAACTACATTTGCTTCCTTTGTGACGTGTTACCGGCAACCCCTACCCCTCACATACATTCCTTTCCAGCAAGACGCTGGCACTTGGTGATCTTACAAAATCATCAGTGCAAAATGGTTCCCCCAGAAGGGTTGCCAGGTCTGGGCTGGGAAATTCCTGGAGACTTGGGGGTGGAGCCTGTGGAGGGCGGGGTTTGGGGAGTGACCTCAACAGGGTATGATGCCACGGAGTCTACCCTCCAGAGCAGCCATTTTCTCCAGGGGAACTGATCTCGGTCATCCGGAGATCAGCTGCGATTCTGGGAGATCTGCAGACCCCACTTGAAGGTTGGCAACACAGTCCCCCAAGTGCAGAACTAATAAGTGGCCAATGTCGAATAAAAACATGGTGCGAAGGTATTAAATGCGGCCAGCTAATCATGTTTACACCGTGCTCCAAATTCCCCATGCCTGATTTTTAAACAGTGGAATCCTATACAGAATTATACTGTTCTAAATCCAATAGATTCAGAAGGCTGTAACTCTCTGTTTTGGACTGCACTAGGAAAAAGCACGACTTTTAAAGTCAATAGATACTGAGAATATCTGTCTTAAGGGCCAATATGGGTGCTTTCCAAAGTTTTTTTCACCTTTCTCTATTATGTGCCCCATTATACACTCGCTCAACTCATGATATCCTGCCTCTCCCCCAACACTTTCCCTATAAACAGCGCTAAAGAGATGAGCACCGCAACCCTAGAGTCGGATTCGACTGGCTTTCGAGCAAGGGAACCTTTACCTTTGCCTTGCTTCACATGATCTACATAATGAGAAGCACCACAGAGAGGGGGAAAAAAACTACTTACAGAATATCCAGATGGGTCGAAAACGATGGCTGAAGAGCTGTGATTCAAAAATAAATGGGTATATTTGGGCTGTATAGTTTAACTGTGCATTCCGATAATCTGATTGCGTCGTTTTAAATGAGGAAGTGCATTAATTGAATCATTCATTTACATTCAGTTCCAGCTAAACTTGTTTCTTCCTTAATACTGGATGCAGTCCAGGATCCCTTTCAGATCACTGGAGTTTTGCCCATTGCCTTTAATGAAGTGGATCATACACCTCTCTGATTTGTAAAGTTGGCTAATCTGAAGGGTATCCGTCTGTACCGGAAGCCCGCTTTAAAAGTGTCATGTTTTCCCAAAGGCTTAGTTCTGAATCATCTGCCCTTCCTCCTGGGTGTGAGCTCACTGCCAAGATATTTCGACATCAACCCAGGCTCCTGAAATAGTTTATCTTGCTATTGCACAAAAGCCCTGATTGCTGTGGCGTGGAGGCTGCAGTCAGTGGGGCTTCATTCTGAGTAAACAGGGATCAGATCGGGCTTTTTCAAGCTGGCATGGCAATTCAGAACGCAAGCATGTTCCATGCCATGTGTGCATCAATTAACTGTCAGTAAAAGTCGCTGCTTTTGGTTTGCTGAAGAATCTTCTTCCCTCGGCAGCAAGCTGTTTGCTGCAAAACTGGTCCAAAACCAGTCAACATGTACAGAAAAGGAGGAGTTAATTCCACAGTCTGCTCAGGTCTAAATAGTCTAACAGGGCAAGGGAAAAAAGCAGGAAGAGTCGGGTTGCTTATCAGCAGAGCAAACAAGTATACCTGACCTGCTTAAAGAGGGTCTCTGGTCTAACGTTCCTTTGGCTTCTGTGTTAATTACAAAACATCCCTGGGAAGCTGTGAGTTTTAAACAGAAGATGTAACTCTGTTTAATATTATACTGTTAGCAGTGTTCCGTCTAAGCTGAGTTATTGTGAGCTAGCTCACTGTTTTTTAGCCTCCAGCTCACACATTTTTGTGTTCGCTCAGGAAGGATGGCTCCAGAGCAAAGTAGTTTATGCAGTAACCAAATTGCTTGCTCACAACTTTAATGCCGGTAGCTCACAAAGTAGAATTTTTGCTCACAAGACTCCACAGCTTAGAGGGAACATTGACTGTTAGGGACTTTTACAAATATGTAAAGATTTCTTCTAAAGTGTTTTCTATAACACCTGTATTAGGGTTGCCAGCTCCAGATTGGGAAACACCTGGAGATTTGGGTGTGGGTGTGGAGCCTGGAGAGGGGAGGGTTTGGAGAGGGGAGGGACCTCAGCATGGTAGGATGCCATGGAGTCCACCCTTTAAAGCAGCCATTTTCTCCAGGGGAGCTGATCTCTGTCAGCTGGACAGCAGTTGTAATGCCAGGAGATCTCCAGGTCCCACCTGGAGCCTGGCAACCCTAACCTGTGTGAGTGTATAACTCATTGAGGGTAAATGTGTTTTTTTGAGCAGTTCGAAAGCAAGAAATTGCAAGTAGATAAATAGGTACCACTTCGGTGGGAAGGTAACAGCGTTCCGTGCGCCTTGGTGTTTAGTCATGCCGGCCACATGACCACGGAAACGTCTTCGGACAGCGCTGGCTCTTCGGCTTTGAAACGGAGATGAGCACCGCAACCCTAGAGTCGGATTCGACTGGCTTAGTATTTGTGAATTTCCTGCATTTTGCAGAGGGTTGGACTAGATGATCCTTGGGGTTCCCTTCCAACTCTGTGATTCTGTGATTCTAACATTCGCACATTGCAGTGTCATCTGAGTATTGTGATGTGTGTGTTTTTATTGATTACTGACTCTTCGATCGTATATTTCTTAGGCTGTACAGAAATGTTTATGATTGCTTCTGGATTCATCTTTTTTGGTAAATCAGAAGGTTATTATTTTTATTTATTATTATTATTATTATTATTAATTTATTGGGTTTTTTTGTCCTGGATAAAAATGAGCATAAAGAAAATGCACAAAAGATGCACTGCTCTCAACACAACTGCTGTAAATACACCACAAACTGATCAAAAAGCATTCTGAGGCTAACAAAGGAAAAGCTACACTTGGTTTCAAGAGAAGGCCAAAGTTTCCCAGCATGAGGGATGTCCCAGGTCTTCCCTTCTACCTGTACAAATGATTGATAAGCTAGGGGAAGGGCTACCACATCCAGATATTGGAAGTATAGACACCATATATGCATATAGCAAGGACCGTCAGTGCTGCTAGCTTTGTCAGCTCTGGTCAGAGAGCCAGTTTGGTATAGTGGTTAAGAGCGGTGGACTCTAATCTGGAGAATCCAAACCAGAGGCATTAACGGTGATTTGCTTCTGGTCTGTATTAGATAAACAATATTCTGTCATCTTCTGGGCATGGAACAGCAGGACTTTTACAAATATGTAAAGATTTCTTCTAAAGTGTTTTCTATAACACCTGTATTAGGGTTGCCAGCTCCAGATTGGGAAACACCTGGAGATTTGGGTGTGGGTGTGGAGCCTGGAGAGGGGAGGGTTTGGAGAGGGGAGGGACCTCAGCATGGTAGGATGCCATGGAGTCCACCCTTTAAAGCAGCCATTTTCTCCAGGGGAGCTGA